CAACAGGTATAGTAATTACACTGTATGTAAATATTATATTGAAATCATTTGTTTCAAAAGTACAGAGCGCATATTGATATTTCAATAAGTTATTGTGTTTAAAAAACAGGAAAAATGTATCTAACCGCGTAGCACGAATGTACATAGACTCCGGCGTACTAGTAATTACATATTTCTAGAGAAAAGGCTTGACTAATATACAAACAAACAAAACATTTCTGTCCGGTAAATGTTGGACAGCACAATTAGCGACGTATTTACGTCAGTTAACTGATCAAGAAATCCTCATAGGATTTGCTGTTAAGAGATTCCGGCTTTCTGTTAAAATAAAACAAGTGTTTCCATGATAATGCTTAAGGGTCTTATTGTGTCATGTTCTACAATGCAGCATAGTTATTGTAACCTCGACGTAAGATCATATTTGAGACTGAGGTGAATGGCTTTGTACTATGTTTTGTAATTACGTAAATATAAATAATAAAATTGTTGCTACACAACATTAATTAATTTTAATTTTTATATACTGCTTTGTGGCCTGGTATATACGTTTACTTGTACACAACGTAACAAAGCACTTGTTAACGCTTCGCTGTTTTTCTAGTTATCTCAAAATTAATAGAGTTTGAGCAGGCCAGAGTAAATAATCCGTGTTAAGGACTGCAATTACACGAAGCGGTTCTTCTGAGAACGGGACTGTACAGAAATTCCCAGACGAATTTTAGTGGATTCACGGAGAGGATAAAACAGCTATGCCCCTCCCCCCTCACTCTGTGGCATGAGCACCAACAGATACACAAAGAGATCTTGCATTAACATCAAGAAACTATAAGTGTGGTCAGACTGTTCTTTAAAATGCAGTATACCGTATCACAAAAAAGTACTCCCGTTTTACATACATCATTGCAGTTCGAAACATGACTTCCATCTATCAGAATTTCAAACTAATTAACAGCAAACGACATACATTCGTTGAGGGAGGATAATGTTTGGAATAAGTAGACGTAGTGTGTCGTGGAATCATCTGGCTCAGGATAGAAACCAGTGTTGGGTTTTGTGGTTACGGTAACAAAACTTTGCGCCTCTTAAGTAAACGCTTGGAATTTCTGGACTACCAGAGCGATGGAGTTATTAGCGGTTTCTTTCATCTTTCTCATTCGTGCTTATATTGAGTTTAGCAAGCAAGTCAAAGTGGTACGAATTTTTTTTAAGTTTGCCGACATTCTAAGAAGACTTCATTGTATGGTCACCTTATTATAAAGTTATTCTCATTTACAAAAGAACACGTACATAGGCCTACGTCTATGTGCCATATTTTACAAAACTAAAAACTTAAGCAAATTTTGTCGTCAGCCAAAAATAAAAACAATATTGCTATGCTTCAGCGTTAAATTTTCGAAATGGAAGAATAAATATTTTCTATCCTGTAATTGATTTTAGACCCACATTTAACTACGTAGTCTACTACGCTGAGGAAACATGACAAAAAGTTCCGGAATTAATGTACAAAAATATTAAATCACACAGTCAAGTACTGCTTTGTTGTGAATATTTTAAAAGACTACCACACCATCAAAACTTCTTTAATTACTAAATTTTGAATGATATTATGCAACACGAAAGAACTTAAAAATGAGCTCGGTACAGTTCAATAGTCCATCTGCAACGACGCATCTTCGAGTAAATGATAGACAATGCAACTTCCTTTGGTGTTATTTAGGTGTAAAAATGTTACCTTCTAAATGCAAGAAACAAATTGTGTAAACTATTTCGTTACCCTGGCTGAGCTATTCGGAGTTTACATACGTTACAAATTATCCATTCATTGTACTTACAAGTCTTGTGGTAACACTGTTCTGTGACGCTTGAAGTGTAGGTTAGCCGCAGCAACTCGAGAGACAAGTCTGTACAGCAACACTATAGAGATCACAAACTGAATGTATCACTACTGCAGCAAACACTGTTGTACTTTGATAGCCACAGTGTACAATATCGTAACACCGCCACACTTTATAACGTTTATTAACACTCAAAATTGCACTTGACGTACGCAACATCAACATATTGTAGCACATCTGACAACGGTCTGTAGTTTCCTCGCCATTCCCACCAAAACTACACGATGTTCGACTGTCTCGTGACTGTCACGCCTCTAGTTCACTTGTTGAAATAACAGAAACATCTGAGAATCGAGTTTTCAGCAGCGATAATAGCCGGGAAGCTTAAACAACCTGCACTGTAACTTCACAGATAACATTTGGGCCTTCCTTGAATAGCTGAAGAAATAATAGGAATTTTCTACTTTTGTGTACCCCAAAGGTACAGTAAGTTATTCGGAAAGCCAGCTTTTACACCATATTCCACGCCAGTTCAACTGCGTCTCCGCCTTCACGTAATGTATCCAAAGACATACGGTATTTAGACAGCATAGTTTTGCCGTAGAACAGGCAGCTAGTCGCCGTCTTCTCAGCACGGAGGCCCGGGTTCGCACCAAGGACAGTCAATGTGGGACATGTGGAACACAGAATATGAGGGTATAGACTGGTTTCGACCGCTACAAGATGAAGTCCAGTGTCCAGCCTTTCGTGTAAAGTGTAAACTTCGAGTTCAATACAAAGCGGATTCCCACTTGAACAGCTCAGCGGCTATCCGATCTGCTCCGTGGTGATAGCCTACCGCAGTTATTCTTGTCCGTAGGTCTTCGCGGCTGAAGTTCGATGTATGACTTCGGCTTTCCGGTAACAGCCGCGTAAGTTATACATTATAGTAGTTAGTTATAATTTTATATGAAGCATTTGTTTATTTTATTTAATGTACATTAAATTCGTCAACAAAAGAATTTATGACTGTGCAACATATTATTTCTAGTGTAGTATTTATTTATTATTAGCTACAATAAATGGCTATAAAATCAACGGAAGATATATATAAAATTGTAAATGTAATTTGGAACTGTGTAAACTGCGTTCATTCTACTGATGCTGAGTTCCGGTTTGTTGGTTGCAGCCGGACTCGGAATGTATGGATCTAGTCAAAAACATAAAACGTTGGTTTCGCACTAAATATATATTGCCTTTCCTTCGATAGTGATTTGGCAAAACGTATTTTGTATTGCAATATTTTGGAGATGGCTGTCTTCTGGCTTGTAGCGCCGTGTAGTCTGTTGGAAGTTTACTAACGTTTCAGACGTTCTTGCTGCCTCCATCATCAGGGCGATGAGTTAGAACCTCAAAACATGCAAAATTCGGACTGACCGAAACTTTCTCAACTACACCTCCATTACTCACATACAGGAGGAGATTGAAAGAAAGGGTATAATATACCTTGAGCTTATTTCGGTGCTGAACGTTAAAAGACGCCATGTGCAACGAAAGGTGGGCATTGAAAGCTGTAACGACACGAAACTCAATAGCATCACGGCGCGAATTTTCGACTGTTCTGCCCACACAAAACGTTATATTGGCGCACTATTTTCGAAAAACCAGAAAAGAAAGCGGATAGGAAGTCAACACAAATTATCAGGTCATGCTAGAGCTTTCCACCAGTAAATACACCTACGTAGCTCACTCTATTAAAATAGGTAACGTGCTTAAGACACAATCCATTACATTGTGAAGTCAACAACGGAAAATATGTATCTAACTTCAAAGACATATCTATTAGTTTAAAACAGTTAAAGATAACCACCTGAAGATGACCAACTAAGATCGAAACATATATTGGATTCTTAATAAACATTGAAACTATGATGAACTATGTATAGATGAACTGTCAACACAACGTAAATGCATTGGACATTTCGCATTTTTCATTAACTAAAGAACAAAGGAATTCATAAATTTTCCTCCGTTTAACACAAGAACTACGCACGTGGGCATTTTTCACTCGATGCAGGTGGGAGAAAATTCTCTCAACTCACACCCACCCTCGTCAAAATTCGTCCTTTGAATGACGTAAAACTCATCAGTATGAAGTACCTGTCCTAATGGCTGTTCCGAAACCGTGCGCATGAACTACGCCCGTCCTTCGGTGTCACGAACAGACTTCCCATATTCACAGTCAACACTTGGTTGCTTTTCAGATCTTCCCACGGTCCCGAGAGGCACAGCGTGTATTAGATTTCACACGTGTTTCATTCTGATGGCTGCTTCTGCTGGCAGATCTAAATTTCGTATTTACACGCATATCAATTTTGGATTCTAAGAATAAAGATCTCTTATACTGTTACGTGTTTAAAGTCTCCGTTTCTATGTTCATTCTCACTTTGCAGAAAAAGAAGACGCAAAAGCCATTGTTTATATGTAGTCATCCGTTTGTAATTCCGACATGTTTCCACCCACGCAAGTGACGAGGTTAAGGTTCTGCGTATAGTTAGGCCAAACATTTTATAAAATTAATAGTGTTTCCTTCTCCTTCCGCATCTCAAACACATTTTGATACACAGTCTTTTGAGTGGATATCAAACACGTTTGGTTCATAGGTAAGACACGAAATCGGAATGATTCTTGTTACAATCTACACCTGCGTTCTGTCAAGGGTTACATTTTGCCATATAGACAGAGACGATGTAATGTTACAGAAACAATCACGCAGTAAAGATAATTTGAATCTAAGAGACAGAAAGTAAAACTTGCTTCTGCAGTAGAGGAGGATATGGGTGGGTCGTATTAAGCACGAAATAGATGAGACATTAATACACAATTCTAATCGAAGAATCTGGAGCGAAGGAAGACCTAGCCGAAAAAGATCTTATTAATATATTAATAAATAGGGTGTGAAGTTGTGGACTGAATTCAGACAGCTCAAAACAGGGTCCAGTGTGATTGTTGTAAACACAATAATTCACGTTCCACAATTGTGGGAAATCTGTCGACCAAGTAAGCGAGAAGTTGATACAAGTATCGAGTTGTCAAGGTCTACTTCACAGTGCTACTTGAATGGTTATCATCACTTCTGTGTTGGACTGTAGACAGCTGGGCAGTAAGTGAAAGTCAAAAGCTCACGGCCGATAAGATCATCAATATAAAAACACTAGCCTTATAGTAAACAATGGCCTATTACACAGCTGCACATTGAAAGGTATTTATACATTGTAACAAGTTTCTTTATTTACTAATCTATTATTCGCGTCTAGCTTCAATTACAATTTAATTACAACATAACCTCTATTGTACGAGTAGACGCTCAAAGCTTGTGTTAAGAAAAGCTCGTTGTGGATAACACTGGAGTACTTTCAGGACGTGAATAAGTGTACGTGTGTGGGTGTGTGGGGGGAGGGGCTATCACTAGGGTCTACAACTCTACATTTTTCTCCAAATCTTGTATATGAACATGTTTCATGGTTCTGAGGATTATGAATATCTTTACAATAGTAATGTGCATGCAGTAAACGAACACCGATGTTGATGACGCATACAAATCCACAAGTAATCACTTGGTGAGTTGTGCCTAATATCAACATTTTGCCTCAAGTAACTGAAACGCCTGATCCAAGCATCGTAATGTTACTTTAAACAAATAAAATAAATAAAAAATATTAAAAATGTAATTAAATGCGTTCACGAAACTTTTATGTAGCAGTGTGGATTTAGAAAACGTAAATTGACATCAAATTTCAAACGGGCTGATGAATCGTGTAGATTTATGTGGTAAGTTTTACTGTGTGTGTCATGGATGCATTAGCGCTGATGGCCCGACTTGATCCCTGTTTAAACACAGCGTTCAATAAGCGGTGTATAATCTCTGAACACTTTAGCCCATTTAATTCGCTCGAAAAACAGCATGACTCAATGTTATGTATACACTGACTGGATTTATTTAGCAAAGATCATTACTCTGCTTATTTTAAAGAAAATTTTACTTGCTGTAAGTGGAATCCCTCTTCAAAGTCTTACAGTCGCTCACCTAGCCAAAAAAAAAAGTACTTCCGCTTATAGATTCGTCGCTGTATTCGCAAAAATCAGCCACTAGAGACACCCTCCTGAGACATTTTTAATGCATGAAGTCGGCTGTATTCTGTACCGTTGCGCCGTGAACCAGACTACACGGCGCAACAATCTAACAGACAGACATTTACATTTTCGTCGCCATACAAACCTGAAATCTCACACGTTAAATGTTACCCTCATACTTTATGAGACCTGTTACCGGTTTTCCCGTCTACTCTTAGGCCTCTCAAATAATCTCTTCCCTTCATGTTTTCTATTTATCTTTCTGTATCATTTCTCATCGTTTCCGTGAATGCTACAAAAGTTCTAGAACTTGGTACCAAGTCCAGGTTAAACGCTGCTCCAGTATTTTCAGTAAGGCGCTAACATTTCAAACAGCTGAAGAATTAATAGTCTGGTAATTATATTCGGACTGTTGCGATTAATGACAAGGCCATAGCAAAAACCGAACACAGAATTAAAATTCTGTGGCACAGACCCACGAATATTGAAAACTGTCGTCGCCAGATGACACTTGGCCGACTCCACCCAACGCCCTCTGTAAGTCTCTCTCACTTCCACACACAGACAGCAGATGGCAGAATACAAAGACACAGTTATGACTTCAGGTGCACGATGGCAGAGCGAAAACATTCAGATGTTTCGAAATAATAAAATGCACATCGTCTTTACGACTCATTAACTGTAAGGTGCAGAGAGTGTCCTTCAAAATTAGCATAGTATTTATTTCTTACCTGTTTCTTCTTTCTTTTATTCGCATTTTCTAACCTTCCTGTTACGTTCTACTCATCAACGACCGGACTTCTACCCTGGAGGTGGAGGCAACATGTTCCAGCCGAAAGTTGGTAACCACTGACAAGTTGATCCTGAAGACCAGAATCTACATTTTCATTTTGTGTGCGTGGGTATTTTTTTTACATTTATCACTTTCATTCACATTTTCATATCGTACGTACATTAAAATAAATCCGAATCAAACTTTCAGCACAGTCTAAATTCTTTTTCACAAACATGTGCTTCAAATTTGCACAAGAGAGCACAGTGGGCCACATATCTTAGAATTTTAATATTCTCCATGAAAAATGTTTTGTCCTTTACGTGACGAAGCACACCGTTCATGGCAGAAAGCAGATCTGGCACTTGGGAGTGGGAAGGATTGAAGTTTGCTCCAAGGCCTATAGTTTGATGTTACTCTTTGCAAAACTCTAATTCTTTTTCCCCAGTTTTATATCACTTTCCTCCCCCCCTTTTCATTCATCGTAGTCTACTTTACGAAATGGTTCTCTATTCATTTCCGGACCAATGAACGATTGCCTGCCACAGAAAAGAACTCTTGCAGCGAGACTTCGCTTTCCTACACTCATTTGTTATTTTTCCTTTTCTTCATAAGGGCAATGTTGGAAGAACAAGGGGGTAGGGGTCTGTCTCGCTTACGTAGTGCGAGTTGTAACAAATGATGACGCAAGTTTTTTTCAGAAAATAAGCACAAAACAAAAGAAGTGTAGAAATAAATCTTAGAAGTCGAGAGGTCCACGCAAATGGGTCTCCAGTACCATTCATTTCCATACTTATTTAAGATCATTCTGCAGATTACCTAAAAGGCAGATCCGGAAGATTCCGAAGTATAAATGCGTGTGTGTGTGTGTGTATATGTAAGTATAACAGATTTTCGTTAAACTGTTACGAACCGCGTGCCAGAGTAAAGATACATTGTCGCGCCATGAAGATGTACCGCGGAATGGATTAGTCTTTTATCTCGACAACAGATGGAGCTGAGCGATCAACTTCATACTTCGTCCGCTTTACCGCCGAGGATTGAGACCCGGTATGCATGAGATGCGAAGTTGGGTGGGCCTGTTTGCGGTGCCAAAATAAAAAATCACTGCCCCTACTGAGAAACCATAGCGTCTTGTTGTTTTTATCGAAGTGGTTTGCCGTTGCCTTCTTCTGTGTGTGAATGGAGTAATTGTTGGGATGCCCCGGAGAAACCGGGGAAGCCCCCGGAGGAAAACTCCGTGTTGCCTAGACCACGGCCTTGCCCAACACAAGTTATAAATTCGGGCACCGCCGGGAATCGAACCCGAGACCCCAGGATTACAAGGCCAGCGTTCTAACCGCTGTCATAAAAGCATGCCAGAGTATGTAATTTAAATTATATCGATAATACCAACATGGCGGTTGTGTAAGGCTTTTCGAAAAACTGTTAACCCATTTAATTTCTATTTATATCGAACATTTTTAACGACCACGTTACATGAGAGCATAAATATATAATATAGCGAAGGGCGTAGGTATTAACGACGTTAAAAATTCAGGTTACAGGCCCAACACAACATTTTGAAAGAAGACAAATTCTTCTTATTGTTTCAAACGAAGACTGCAACAATTGAGGGGGGAAATAAACAAATCTTTGAAGCAGATATTAAGCAAATTTTCTAAATGTTCATATTTAATAATATTTAATTTATATTCAGTAAAGCATGCAAGGCCCATTTACCAACGTATTCTGTAATGATGACGTATCTTTTAGCAATAAATTAGTAGTCTAGCTAATCACAACGTTAAATCGTTAGAGAAGCTTTTCATGATATATTAACTGCAGGTTATAAATTATTTGACGATAATCTATAATACAGCAATATGCCCTTAAAGTAGGCATAACATACTGGATATAAATTTGAATTCGAACTGATTCAATATTTTATTTTCTATATTTTTACTTAGTTTAAGTCCCGTTCGGAATCATTAAATATATTTCATTTCGGTATCCATTTTGGTAAATGTTAAGTACGTACACAAAGCAGCGATTTTACGGTGTAATTACAGGTAGATAATATTTGTAATCTCATTTATTTCCAAAGCCGTTAAACAACCATGAACTATGGCAATTTCATGGGATTAAGCACAGCTTTACAAGCAGGGTCACCCCGACTGAGAGGTGCAACACACGCATTTGTACTTACAGGATGGCAAAAAATGAATTTTAAAAACAATCTTGCCATTCATGAACCACAAAATTAAACTCTGCCACAGTAATCGATAGTTCACCGACTTCTTTAATTATCTAAAGATACGTACATACAAGACACATGCTGTTATAAATAAATGGTAATTTTAGTAGCCCGATTAAACAACAATTCAATTCTGTTGACAGTGTTAGCAAATTAACCAAATATAAGCTCATGAAAGTTAATTCATATCGCGTATCGAAAAACGTGTTATTTCCTCATTACGTGTATTTTCTGGCCTGTCTAAAACATTTTTATGACCATTCAGAAAGGACTGTATAACAGCACCTGAACTGTGTGTACGTGAACTTGTGGAGGGGAAGGGTGTTTCAGCGGAGTGACAAGTATAGCCTATCCAATACGATTACCAGTTACAATCCAGCTAAAATATATTTAGTATTTTCCTATCATTATTTTCTTGCTGGTTTATATTTTATCCTGTTACAGATATAACAGGCATAACACTGCCCGCCGTTGTCTGCAACCGCTAACAGAAGTTTAGCGTAAAGAAATATTTTCTGCAACTCCCATTGTACTGTGAATGGTAAACATCATGCAAGACATATATCTGATCAGTCACTATATACAAATTTGAGTTAGTGTTTCAAAAAATTATTATTTTGGGATCATATGTTTCCGGATTCCGGACATTCATAATTTTGAAAATAGTAACACATATGAAATTCAAATTTATGCATTTATAACTACGAGCATAAATTTTTGTAACTTCAGAAATGCAAAGTTTCTGATTTATTTATTTATATATTTTCTTTAAGAGAGAATAATTTAACACTTCTCTAACTGGTATTATATACCTCACCTATTAATAAATCAGTCGCAATGATCTAAAAAGTGGTGTTTCTTTTAATTCAATTGTGACGCCTTCATGAAAGCCTTTGCACAGGAATCCCCTCTACCAGTAGTGGAAGACGATCTTCGGTAATTTATTGCTGTAATCGACAACACAGATCAGTGGCGATCCCTCAAGCTGAATAGAACAGTTTCCACAGCCCTATCTCTTAACAGAGATACAAGCTTGAGTTGCGTTGTGGGAGTATTCGCACTGACGTTCAACCGCAGATGGCACTGTTCATCTTGATCTATCCGCTTGAGAATCACGCGAAGGCCGGATAAAGGAGAAACGAACGAGATGACAATAAAACGAAACAAAAGAAAAATAAATAACGACATTGAAATAACAGCTACTCGGATTTCCTACTTCTGAAATTAAATTATTTAATTATATACTAATTACTGCCGAGGAAAAATGAGCCTGTAATAAATGATAATTGGTTTATAAAATTACGCGTATTCGTCTACTTGGAATTTGGTCATGTTAAAGTTAAAGAGAGCTTCTTTTGACTATTTTAGGGAACTATCCAGTTGTTTTCATGTGTTTCTGAGGGAAATCACAAAACATCTATGCCTCGATTTCGATGTCTCTAAGTGGTCATTGTTGTTTGTTTATCATCAGTCTTTCGACTGGTTTGATGTGGTCCTCCATTTTCGTCTATCTTGCGCCAATCTCTTCATTTCCACAAATTTTTTGCAGCCCTTATCCTCAAAAATCTGCGTCACATATTCCAATCTTTGTCTCCCCCTACAATTCCTCCCTTCAACTGTTCCTTCCATTACCAAACTAACCAATCCTGGGTGCCTCAGAATGTGTCCTACCATCCTATCTCTTTTTCTAGTAAGATTTGTCCATAGACTTCTTCCTTCGCCTATCCTGTCTAAGACCAGCTCATTTTGTACTTTATCAGTCCACTTAATTTTCAACATTTCAAATTTTTCTATCCTTCTTCTTTCTGGTTTTCCCACTGACCATATTTCGCTTCCGTATAACGCTGTGCTCCAATCATATAACTTCAGAAAAATCTTTCTTAATTCCAGGTCAATGTTTGACACGTAGACTTCTGGTCATTAGAAAGTTGTAAACAGCGTTTGCAAAAGTGACAGTTAAACATTATACGTATGAAGAGTAACGCACCGGGATGCTGCGTTATAGTTACAGGATCATTGTAATGATGAATGTGTCTTATTCCCTACTGTCCATGAAACCTCGGCTATGAAATTTGCAGAACCAACGTTACACGAGTCCGTTCATTATTAACTTCTGCATTCTACCAACTGAACAACCCAAATAGAATAATTTCAACTTTTCAGCTAAATATTATGCTCTTTCGTAAAATACAATCCACCGTTTCACAACAGCCATGTGCATCCACTCTTATGACGTCATGAGAGGGACTTGTGGAAAATAAAATGAGAAATGTTTTTAATTATGAAGTCAAAACGCCCTCTCATTCAGTGTTTGTCAATAGCAGAGCGTGTGTCCTGCTCTTCAGAAGGTACGCAATTAATTAGTGACCACATAACGTCGGAGCACGTGTACTGGGGAAAGCTTGCCTCTACCACTTGGACAGGGTTGTCCACCTCCCTAAACGCGCTCTTTACCGCGTGTCAACAGCTGAGGCAACATCGCTTGATAAACGTTAAGGAAGCGGTTATGTCCAGGAGGAACTGAGGACAACCACAAAAATTTTCTGCCAGCATAATACGTGTCCCGGTACAGAATCGAATCGGGCATTCCCTAATACAGATCAAATTCTGTCATTGCTTCAGCCAGATTTAGATATGAAATTACAATAAATACACTCAACTTTATTTAATGGCTTCTTTTTTTTCAGAAATTATAATGTCCTCTAACTCGTTCTGTTTTAATTATAATTCATCTTTCCATATTGTCTCTGTCTTCTTATTCCTCCGCTCCTTTGGCCTGTAATAATTTAAAAGTGCCTTCGGAAGTGAATTTTCGTAAATTTTTAAAATGTGTGCATACCAATTTCTCATTTGACTTCCTATTTTCTCATTTACATTACAGATATTTAAGTCGTTCTGTATCTCTGCGTCTATTTTAAACATAGGAAGGTAAATGCAGCCCCTCGTCTTAAGAATTGCATTTCAGCTGACGATGTTTTTTTCAGTCCGATTTATTCCTTACCCAGTTATCGATCGTTTAATTCGATACAAACACTGCCCTTACTCTATAACATTTTAGTTATGCTTCTTAGCGTTCTTTCGCATTGTTCTTCTTCTTATTGTTCCACACATCTTCTGAAACACTTTCAGTTTATATGATGTAATTCGCCATTACTTTGCATCTAGTATAAATTTTACCTTCGAATACCATCGTTTAGCCGTGGCTAAATATCGAATTCTTCTAACAAATTTAATCGAAATCCGTTGAATTTTTCGTGAGATAAAACATGCAATCGAGGCAGCAGGATGACAGATTTGTACATCCCTATATTTTACTGTTATGTTCCTGATGGCGTACGTTTGAATGCTATACAGCCCGTCCACATTTCACACACAAGTGCCTCGACGGTCTAAGGGAGATATCGCCGCTTCCCCCAGACAGGAAGTGCTTGGTCCCACACTATAATGAGATCCGTGTGTGTGTTCATTCGGTAGCCCTAGAGAAGGGATGGAACAGAAACAAAATATTTCATATATTTGCTATAAGTATGCCAGAAATCCAGTATACACAGCAAAGTCATGAACAAAAAGTGCCTAAAATCGATCACGGTTTTTTACTTATTTATTTTCGTTTTATTTAACCATCTTTTAAACACTTCAGACTATATAGCGTCAAATGAAAGATTATTTTGTAACGAATAATGACCTGAAATTATATTAAATGAAGTGGTCGTGTGTCTAATGTGAGAAACTATCCCGGCATTTGATTCGAGGAACTGGAAAAAATCACGAAAACCCTCAATCAGGATAACATGTCTCCCGACTAAAATATCCCCTGACATCCTGGTAAGGACGTCATATGTTTGCGATTTAAAAAACCTACCAGGCATGTGGCCATAGACGGCATGGACGCTGTAAAGGTACAATTTGGCTGCACGCGACACAGACAAGCGACCGAGGCAGGCGACAGAGTTACGAGACCGAGATTGGTCGCTTCCTGTCTGCTCTCTGTACAATCGTATGAAGTACAATTACGAGCGCGAGACAAAGACAGGCGACAAAGACGGGCGACAGAGACAAAGCACAGGAGACCGCTCTCGGACCAGTAGTGGCACGTGTGTTGTTGAGTAAAATAATGGCAGAAATTAAATTTACTGGTGACCAAGATGAGCAATTGGTAGAATTAGTAGCAGAAAACCGACCACTGACCACCGACAGAAAGATCCTTCTTCACGTCTGGTTTTGAATATTGAACTCATAGGTTTTCTTTGTTTCTTTCGCAACAAATAACACAGCAACACATCATCTTCTTCGATTAACCTTTTTAGAAGCATTTTTCTACTCATTTTTCACAGAATATGTGCACGTATGTCTCAACAAAACAAAGAAAACAAACACTTTGCCGCATGTCTCGGTCGTCACCTCAAAAGTGTGTGGCAACAAGCTGCGATGTGTCCGTCTCCCGTCTCTGTCGCCTGCCTCGGTCGCTTGTCTCTGTCGCGTGCAGCCAAATTGTACCTTGAGCCGCCTAGTCGTGGCTTAACGTTGATCTGCTGTTAGCGCAGGCGCAGTTAGAAAAGAATTTTGTTGCGGAATTGAAGGGAAGAGGGATTACATGACCTTCGAAGCCAAGATGTTAGCTGGATCTGGACCGCTAACTTCCTATGCGTCCTGGTTTTTGATTCTCGTGATTTTAATTATGTAACCTTTGTTGTACGCGTATGCCTTGTTATGACTTATTATTGTGCATCATGGGAGATGAAGTACGACGTATATACGTAATTGCCAACATTTTCATAACCCCCTTGTCATGAGATTTGTCTAAGACTTTGATAAAGTCACGCTTCGCCATTGGCCAACCCGAAATGTTATTGCTACGCTAATGAAAAGTGACAATTAAAATTAACCCTTCGTCAGCAACACTGCCTCGTGACAGAGTCAATTTCCTCGGCCTCCCATGAACCTACGACAGGCTTCAATGAAAGACAGCCACATGCAGACCTCACGCGTCCGACAAAATAAACTTACAAGGAGAGACAGAACAAATTTTCACAGCGGCAACTATTTTAACTGCCTTTTAGGAGGGACGTCGTTTGAATATTAGGCGCAGAAATACTATAGGGTCTACAAATTCGTTTCGTGGTTTTCCTCAGTTATTACAGAAACACAAACTAGGCCACCTAAGATTTCTCTCTACTTTGACCCTCATAATAGGCCTATATATTCATTATTTCAACTTCTGTGGTTGATACAGCGACTTTGAATAGCTTGTGAATCGAACAGAAACGCTGGAAATAACTGGTGTTTTACTGAGTATACTTTCTGCAAACTGAACTTCGATAAACCTTACGCATTTTATTGTTTCATAGTTGCAAGTGAATAACCGTATCATTTTCGTTGTAGGATCTAAAAAATAAAGCTCTGCTTTAACACAGCTTTTATTTGCGACGGGAGGACACTAAATACAAACTCATTGTGAACCTTGCGTAATAGTTACACAGCGGAATGCCCCAGTTGATTACTATTTATGAGTCCATTCCGGCTGCTATGCGCCGTCAAAAGTTAGAGGAGAGACAGGCATTTATTTAGACCTCACATTCCGCCACTTATAATGTCGATGCTGTATGGAGAAGCTAATTTGATTGCTTACGCGAGTTAAAACACTTATTTTTAGTTCTAACTCTATACAAAAGAGTAATTCTTGAAAATATTATAGTCACTCAGCTGGTCATAAAATTCCCTGTCTTTTAAGGTACAACCAAAATACAAATTTCAAATACATTCACACTGCCAGGGTAAGTCATAAATTATTTATCGTGATTATTCTTTAAATATTCGCCATATACAAAAATAACTCCATAAAATTTGCATGATTGCGTAAATTAAATCTATATTTTATGTAATGTACATATGGTTTGTTGGATTAACCTTTTATGAAAAGTGTCTATAAAGATTGGCTTTAGTAAGTTTTATATTCGACAGATATACAAACCAAAAATAAATTGACTCAACATATTTTAATGCATACCATCAATATCGAATTACTGAATTATATATTGTTTTTAGATATGAAACATGTGATCGGACAAACACATTCTCATTATACGTATACAACATGTAGGCATTACCTTGTGGGAAAACGCACAGCATCGAGAACACACTTAAAGAGAAGATTCGAGAAGAAATGGTCGACTCCATTTTTCCTTCATACGCTTCCATCTACATAGAAATAATAATAAAAATATTCGTACTTTGTGGTACATGTGCATTTTTTGTTAGTACAGATTTGCAATTGTTAGTTCTGCCTTCACACGACGGTGGCGCTTTTAAAATGTTTAGTAATAAAAACAATTTATTGAACAGAAATAAACACGAAAGTGCTTCGCTCTGCATCACATCTCCGCAAATCTGTGTACCCTGCTTCACTTGCTCGATTGATTGTGCTAACAAAAATTGGCCCGCGTTATGTAAACAGTGATCCGTAATGCTTCCATCGCGTTAAATACAAACAGCCTAATAAAAATACACATTATTATAAAACTGATTCTGTGTTACTCAAAAGAGGAAGTTACAAAAGTTACGTTCAGACCTAACAAATACAGAATTATTCTGTTTAAAATCTAGATAGTATTTACAAATTTGTTTTTACTTTTACCAGTATCCAACGTAAAATTCCAATATCGTTACATAAAAACATTTTTCAATATTCGTATGAATTAAACTTTCAACGTGATATCGATTTCTATATTTCGAAAATCCATTTAAAACAAGAATATAACGGAAAGACGTGATATTTCGTAGTTATAGAGTGACGATAACAAAATGGAGTTCCTACGTAGCTCATGTTGGTAATGTATCACTGCAGCATTCCTAAAGCCTTACTAATGTCTTCGATATTAATGTAGGTCGATAGTTGATGTTAATGCGATGATAAAGTACAAATTCAAGGCTGAAGCTATGTTTTATTTCATCTTTTTTTGTTCTGTCCTAGTACCTCTTTATTTAGTTCTTTAATGACCTTAATTAGAGTCAACTTGACCACTGTGGCTATATATGGATAGAATGAAGAAATGAAAGGCATGACGAGAGAGAGGAAATATACAGTTAGAATCTGTTGATGAAAGATGATAGCACGCCGAATAGGAATCGGGGAGGTCTGTTTTAAAAATAAAATAAATAGCGTGTAATTAGTTTATTCATTTGACTGTTGATAGGTTAGGTTATGTAGATACTTCAAGCGCAATGGTCCCTTACAAATCCCGACGCCATATTTGAAATTTTAAGCACAAGAGAAGTTCCCAGGATAATGTACCGATAATGAAAAGGGACCGGGTCTATTCCAGTAGTCAACAGCTCGAACCCTGTAGGACCCTATCACTCGTTCGCCTTGGGTTCCGTCTGAAAATAAATCAGAGATAAGTAAACTTAATCTCTTTAAGAGCGTACGAATAGAAGATGCGAAAAGGTTTCAGACGACTTCAGACCTAATGATGTAGATAATATTGAACAAAACACGAGCTGGAACGAAGTTTTTATGAGTAACTGTTCTCTTAGTTTCGTTCCAGTGCGTCAATCTATAGACTATTAAGTAGTATCACTTAAAGATAATGAGAATATATACTGACCAGATGGAACTGCGTACTGGTACGATAGAAAGATGGTATCTTGCGAATTGACACGGCGAAATTTGTCAGAAACCACAGAGTTAAATTCTACTTCGTATGTTTTGATGCACCTGTAAGACATGAAATTTCGTAAATTCTCTTATGAAGGAAGCCATGAGTATACAGTTAGTGTAAACTGAGAAACATAGATTCAATCTCTGGCATCGCTGCTACATCAAGAACGACTGTAAACCCAACACAGATATTTACATCATAATTTCTACGCGGTTAAATTCAGCATAAGCGTTAGACTACATCCAGTCTCGAGATTAAGAGGACGCAGTTCTCAGACATAGGACATTTTCAATGTTCCTCTTATAATTAATTTCCATTTTATTATTTTCACGACTTCAGTAATAAAACTTAAACAATTTGCTGTTTCTAACTCTAGCCCCTGTAAATAAACATACTAAATAATTTTTATTACATATTCGACTAAACCTTAAATTTAAATTCTGGATACCTACCTCGTAACCACGGTGACGTCACTCCAAAAGAGCATAACCTCGTTGTAAGTCACGTTGCAGACCATTAAGCGAGACACCTGCAACGTCAACACAATGACGTTTAACGAGTTCTTTGTACAAAGCTCAAAGATCATGTCGGTCTGTTGTCACCCTGCTTGTTTCTTATCCGAAACTACTAATCGAAATACGACTAAAAACACTGCAAAATTTCCTTAATGTTTTCGTGGTGTCTAATAATTATAGAATATAGAAATCGAAGGAAGAATTACCTGAGTAAATAAGCAGGGCAGAAACTCGACCAAACTGTCCACTACGTCATCATACCCACACTATTTTGTGCTACCAGACAATAAACTTACTAAACAATAAGTCCCCCAGACAAAAACATCAAACTTACAAAATAAATTTTTCCCTGCCTTGATATTAATCTGTGTCAGTTGAACGTGTGAAGCAGTGGTCGCTCTGGGAATTACCTGTGGCGGCGAAATGTACAGTCTAAATTCCACGGATTGCATAAGCATAAATTATCCTATCCTGACAGTGTCAGCTTTCGAGTTAGTAATAAAAATATTTTATCATTAAGTCGGATAGTATTGTAATCTTTAATTGGTTTCTGATTTTTCTCATTACTGGTACTAAAAACATCTCACTTGCGAATTCAGTGGAGTAACAGCAGCAAAAATTGTATATTGTAAAGAGTTAACAAAAATAATTGCAGTTATAAACAGCCATATTGTTTTGGTTACTTTCAGAACCTAATATTATTTATAAAATTCTATTAGAAATCGAATACCAAAGGGGGGGGGGGGGGGAACTTACGGAATTTTAGAAAGCGTCTCGTTTGTAAATTGGAAATATTATGTACTCGTTCATCCTATATTAACAGAAAAATACACTCACGTGTCCTGGTCCCTGCATTGCTTTAGCGCAGATGTGAAGAAGACCAACGCTTGGTAATTTTAGCGGCACTGAGAGGCGTAGCTTCTCTGAGTGGGGCACACGCGTGGGGCCCCTCGCACGATGGGGGCCCTGTCAAGAAACCACATATTTATTTCACTTAACTGTCCGTTACAAATTTGTAAAATTAATTGATGGGATGTTGGTTACTGTCATGTGATGGCACTGTGATATGCCGTCAGTGAGGTGTCATAAGATGATAACACGCTACAAAATAATAATAATATTTTTTAAAAAGTCTTAAAGAAATAAGGTGTGAACATGCGATCTGACTCAGGATAAGGTACAGTGGCGAGATTTTGTAAACCATGTACTGAACCTTTAGGTTGCGTAAAATTTTAGGAATTTCTTAAGTATGTGAAAGTATACTAACTTCTGAAGACGTCCTCTGTTCCACGGTGTTAGATGATGCTAATAATAATGATGATTATTTCAATTCAGTTCAATTCTTTGTGTCAACGTCCTGACTCAATACGCGAAATTAAGGCCGTATTGAAAAAATGGCTTTAGGGAAACCAAAGACAGACGAAACATGATGGTTAATATTTATAATTAATCATTATAAATATAAAAACATTTGTGCTGGTGTTTGTTGGGATGAAGTCGATGTGGTGGCTGAAAGCTGTCGACGTTATCGACGGCGGAGGAAAACCACAGAAGACTTACTGAAGAAAGAAATGATCTTCGGTTACTTTGCCTTCTTCTGCATATTCTTATACCCCTTTATGTTTGGTGCCATGACAGCCTCTATCTCGCGTTTAAATTTCAGAGACCGCTTCATAAAGAAATGATCAACTAAATCATTCGCCATCTGAAGGCTTTTCTTCACAGCCCTGGTAGTCAGTTGAGTCCTAATCAGTGAGTCTGCGCAAGAGTGACTGCGAAAGAACGAGGAACGTACGTCGCCATATACAAATATTACCACTATAATTGTTGGCAAATAAGTAAAAACGCGAATGAGGCTGGTCAGCTCTTTCCTTACCTCAACAGCTCTTATTCGAGCTCTCAGCTGTTGTTCTGGAAACACAGGAGCTCCATTGCGCAGCCACATCTGCGCAGGGTTCGTGAGTACGTTGTCCATCAGGTATAAGACGTAGCGAGGGGATTCCCCGGGCACATTAAGCACCCGAAGCGTCACGTTGAGAATTTCGTCGGGATGTGAACCTGTGTCGTTGTTGAACACCAGTAGGACCGACCCAGTCCAGGGGTCTATCCCACTAGAACCTGCAGCCAGAACCGACAGCCTACGAAGAAACCATTAGCTACTGCATGAGTCAAACAAGAAGGATGGTGACTCGCGCAGAGGTTGCGACGTTGCCACATCTTCGGATTGACTTGACAGCCAACACTTCAATTTCGAACAGTGGCAGTGGAGATAATATGGAACCCCACTAGGTTCTTGGCTTGTAACGTGTACACTGTTCAAATATGTAGTAATAGGATACAAAATTCTGTTGAAATTTTATTGTTTCTCAGATACTGCTCTCGAAATTTTAATATACAAAATATATTTTCCGAAAATTTTAATTTTCAATTAAATTTTAAAGAAAGGATGCTGATAATACGGAACCCCTTTAGATGATTAAAAGAGCTAAAAACAACTAAAAATTGTGAAAAGTTTATGTTTACAGTATGGAAATCACAGTTATTTACTCTGAACACTACAATGGAAGTTAATATTTTTATAGCCCTTTGAAACCCATTTCAGGTTTTCATTGTGTTCTATGGCATGGATAAGTTCTGTCCGTCTGTCGCGACCTTCAGCCGAAATCTTGCTGCCATCTATTATCACTGTGTTCACGATCGATTGGCAAAACATCTTTTACAGATATTAGGGCAACGTTAGCTTCCGAATGAGAGGTTGTAAACCCCCACAGGTACTAAATATAGGTATATATATACTTTCCTATTATACACTTTCATTTCATGCACTGAATACGCGTAATAAAGCGTACCTGTAGTCGGGGTTTTTTACAACCATGCGAAGCTCCTGGTTACCAAGAAATGACAGCAAAGCCATTGTCGTGTATACGGGCTTCCTGATGAACTGCACGTGCGGCGGATTTGTTTCGTTCATCTGAAACCTGAGAAATTCAGACAAATTTTTTAACGTCACATTCCCATGGCGTTCTTAAAGCAAACCGGATACATAAAAAGTGCTATTATGTTGTGTTTCGGAAGTAATCACAGTTTATGGAGTTATTTGGGTATCCAAATAAGCTATTGTTAGTAAATATTTGAATATGAGCCTACATTTGACGCTACTACACCACCAAAGCGATGAATAGCTAACCTTGCCAGCAGAGTGCGTTGCGTGAAGTAATACGGGTGGTAATTGAGGAAAGCGTTGTCATTACTGAGCAGTTGTAGTGGCAGCCCCTGCTGTCTCACCATGACGTGCTGGTGATCCGCGATCACCGCTGCGACCATGGCACCGTACCTCACATCGGCCCTCCAGGGCTCACTCTTGGACCAGCCGGTCAGAGGATCTGCCTCGCTGCAAGTAAACATAGCAACACGTGGCTGTCTTTGTCGTAACCACTACAGGAACAGTCTGCGTGCGAGGAAGCAAGCGAACGAATGCTAAGACCCTTTATCCTATAGCTAGTAAAGAAATTACCCACCTCTTACAGAAACTGAAATTACATAACTTTATTTTGTGTGTTATGGCACACCTATAGAAGACAGAAAATTCTTGAAGCTGGGATATTGGCACTAACAGTGCAATACGTACCCGTAGTAAATTTCTGGGGCACGTCTACAAGTATACGCTGAAGAAGCCTAAATTTAGGGCCCTGGATGTCGTAAAGATGAGCTCTTGGTATTGAAAAACACTTCGGTGTGATATAGACCTGCATTATAGTTAATGTAGACTTCGTGTTTTATAATTAAAGCCTATACGCAGCTCTTTTGAAGTTGAAGCTCGTCTTAAAAAGATTTAAATATTCAGTCCGCACCTCAAAGAAAACACAACCCATAACCATTACAACTACCAATCAGTTGATGCCGTTTAGAGAAATAATTGTAGTTTACTTTGAAAATCATATGAACCCGATAAATATATATATATATATATATGCAAAACGCAGCATTACCGACTGTCTTCAAGAGTTAATAACATCTGAACTTGAGATACATTAAATAACCTACGATCCAAGCTTCAATTCATAAACTGCCTATAAATTAAAATATTACACGTTATTCAAGTTACTTTCTTTTTTCTCACGTCAAACATAATTTAAAAATTCCTCGTGTTCTTTACGATTTTCCTCTGTGTTTCAATCGTTTTCCAAATCTCGCTGCCCCTAGCCAGACGAACGAATGAAATATCAGATTTCCTATAATCGTTGTTTTATATCGACGAGACTCACTCGTTTGCTAATGGAATTCTTCCCAAAGATGGAAACATGACGCTGAGGTCACGAGCGAATTGCAGGCCCTGCTCCAGCACTGCAGCGCTGGAGGCTGCCCCTTTCTTATGGAACGAGATGAAGTCTAGAGAACAGGCAGTCTGGTTGGCGCAGTGCTGTAACAACCCCCAGCACAAAGGGTGCTTCTCCAGAGTCTTAAACAGACCCGCGGGGCCCCCAAACCGCAGTCGCCCGTGCCCAGCATCTCGCAAGCCCCCAGAAGACGCTTCGAAGTATCGCATATAGCCTGCAAGTACAGTGGAGTTACGGTATAACGTTTTATGTCATGACATATTTTCACATGTAATGTTAACATCTTCATATAAACGTTCGTAGCTTCTCGTGAGTTAAACACGAGGTTCCTGTTTCTAATAACCATGTCTTGAAGGTGTATAGATTCAATGGTCATGAAATACCATAACTCGTCATAACCGATTTCTTGGACTACATTCGTCATATTCACTGCGTTACTTACTCTCTACAGTGAAGTTTAAAATGTTGTAACTCTTCAAATCAGGCTCGTTCCACGTTTCAAATCGCCATTGTTCTACTGTAGAAAGCCCGTAGCGGTCTGAAAATAAAATTTACAATTGGCATACAATAAAATCTGGAACTGACGTTATATCCTACCTTATAAACGTGTTTCGAGAGTTTTGATACTTCTGTTTCTTAACAAAACCACGTTCAAATTTCATACGTTTCATTTCACAAACTGCAAACATGTTTCTCAAAGTCATTGTAAAGAAAAGGCATGCCCAAGTGTTGAAATTTACGGCCTTGATTGGTTAAAAGAGATCAAATTATCTAAAAGTTACGCCATGACAATAAGGACGATGCTGAAGCACTTACCTGTGTAGATAAGAGGTTGTACCTTTTATGTCAATAGTAGTAAATCTGTCATATTCTTTAACTTTTTCTCAGACACTGTTCATGAGATGGCTACATTTTGCAGGCACGATTTCTTTATATATTGGCATTTTCTTACGCTCATAAAACAGACTTTTAAATTTTTATTCCAGTCGATTTTTCCCCACATATTTCATTCCTAGTTCTCTCTTGAGGTTGTCAAAATAAAATTTATTACATTTCTTCACGCCTATGTCTAGTCCTCTGCGGTTTTGAAATAAAAATCACGCGTTTCCTTCTCCCGAGGAACTGAGTGCCAGTACGAACCTTACTGTGCCAGAATTTTCAGTTTTGTGGTAAAGTGTAAAATTAACTGTAAGGAGGATAACGCGGAAAGACAGATTTGGTTTTGGGGACTCGTGATTATGGCGCTAATGATGAATGGGGAAGACGTTTTCCGCCAGTGGAACAAGGAAAGATTGACAAGATTTTAGCTCACATGAGACATCGTGGAAAGGAGATTAAAGTAATTAAAAGTTTATTACAGACCCACAATAAAATCTAACTGAAATTAATAAAGGAACCTACGTTTTAGGTTCGATATTTCCCTGTGAAATTTATAAAGTGTCGTTACCATGATAACACAGAACACGCCATGTATATTTGAGTCTAATACTTAAATTTTTAAAATGTAAAAATAAATTTGTCCCCTTGCCTAAGAACCACGTTATTATAACGTCGAGAGAAGTTTTATGCTTCTTATAGTTCAAAACTAAATGGATATGAGTGTTTTCGTGGAAGTTGTGGGGAAGATAAAAATTTCTACCCGTCACGGAAACCGACCCACGGTCGTCTAGACCGTAACCAGTCTCCCTGTCTCTTATAATATCCCACTGTATCCTTTTTCAACCTACCAATGTACCTGCTAGCCACCTGCCTCACCAGATGTCTCCACATCTCGACTTGTGTGTCATTGTTGAAGTCACGAAAGAGGTGAGATGGGTTCCCCATCAATTCGAACCCAGGATTGAGTCTGTAGATCTGCATCCAGTCGAACAACTGATCCAGCAACGTAAAGTTGTAGAGCGGCGTTCCAGAGTCGTCAAGATGGCTTCCATCGTGTAGAAATGTGAGGAGGAAAACAGCTAGTTCTTATTCAAGAATTCAGAATTAGAATCCAGTAGTGTTATCGAGTCCAAAATACAAGCAAATAACGACATAGTCTGACATATCTTTGAAAATATTTTACGAGTTCTGACGCATTCTATGGAAAAAAAAGATGTATACACATATTTATTTACATTTACACGTAAAACAGATACATATACACTCTGTAAGTTCCAGCCGCAGAAAACACTGTTATTTGGCAAAATACAGAAAAATATAAAGAGGGAGAAATTGTTACAAATCAAGTGTTTCCAATCTAAAGTGTTTGAGGTTTTGCCCAGGAACAGCCATTACGTTGCTACACTCTTTACATTATCAGTAGTAAGAAGTTACGGCGATGTTCGATGTTGCTAAGTTGACATGACATTTCGCTGGCTTCGTCCACTTCGTGTTTCGTGCAGTACCTGTGTCTTCTTCAGTACTGCTTCCCTTACTCTGGAACGACATCCCCCACTCCGAAAATACATCCCTCTTTGGCTAACATGTCGACGTGGCAACACCCCCGTTAATTTATTTATTTAACAACACTTTTTCAATATCTCAGACTACAAAGCGTCGAATAAGACTATGATAGTGAGCAATTAATTGGATAGGATGTGAAAGGAATTGGTCGTGGCCTGATTTAAGATCCTCTCCCGGACTTGGCCTTGAAGAACTGAGATAAATCACGAAAAACCTCAGTCAGGATGGCCGGTCTTGAGGCCGAGATTTGAACCCGGTACCTCCCGAATACGACGCGGGAGTTCTAGGCACTTAATTATGACGTTCATCTCAGTTAAATTTGTATTGCTGGTAGCAAAGAGTGGAGAGCCATAAGGGCTAGTCGGTAAATATTCCAACACCTGAGACCGGAAACATAATTTGCAACAACTTTTCCGTTTGTATTCTTCCATATAACAGAGTTCTCCTATGTTCCCGGACTTATGAGACGTTCTGTACATTGTCACTAACAATCAGCGACTGTGGTTATCTCAACCAAAGCGAGAAACGGCACTAGCAATTCCATTATTCTATGTAATAGCCACACACTGACATCAGCGCTCTCATGTGGAGAACCACTGGCCTTTCTCGACAAATCACTTTAAAAGACTCGCCTTCTAAATTTATAGACCCATTTCAATGTTTCCATCAGACTGAAAACAATACTATAAATAATGGTCCGGAAATCCTTTCAATTTTGTCACATTGTTTCTTTTGTCGGGCCAAATACTTGTTATTTATCGACTAAGGCGCTGCCGTAGGCTAAAATGGTATAAAGCTTGAAGATAAAAAATGTTTGGTTGTAGAATTTAAAAAACATTTTTCCTACTGCAGAGATTTCTAGTTCTATGTATATTGTGTTTTTGATGTTATATTTAAGTTTATAATCTAGCGATAAAACACAATTCATGAGTTAGACCAAATATTTTAAATATTTTCGGTGTGAGGGCGTGGGTTGGATTTGTCTGGTTCGGGATTAGATCATTTGCCGGATCTTGTGAACAAGGTAATGAACCTTAGGGTTGCATAAAAAGTAATTTAGTTCAACTTAGCAGTTATTGACTCCGGAGGAGTTAGTAACTTCAGGAACGAAAATGCATTTTTAAATTTAATTTGAGAACAATCCTAAACCAAGGTGTTATAGATGTCGATTTTACTGATTCATTTTACGTCTATAATAGTATTTTAGAAGCTATTTAGCATCGAATAAAATGGCAAGATGAAAATTAATGATGAGTAGGGTAGAATGTGATGCTTCTGGTTTTCAGTTAGGTCTGCTACCCGATATTTACATATCTGACGAAATGAGACACGACAGCCGCGCTCATACCAGGTTGTAAAGCGGGGACCTCAGACGCGCTGTAGTAGTACCTCACTGTGATGAGGTCTAGAAGCCAATGTATCCGGACTTGTGATAATGACTGATGCGGCAAAGAACCGATCAGCGCCAAGTTGAAGCGCTCGTCCTCGGCCAGCAGAAAACGTGCGACAACAGAGCGTGGAGCTGGCGGACTGCAAAGTTATCACCATAAGACTATTTGCTCATTCCTTCGTTTGTTTGCTTGTGTGTTCCTTCGTTCTTTCGTCTATTTGTTTATTTAACACATACGTAACGACATTTTCAATTGCTTAGATAATAAAGGATCGAATGTTATATCGATTAGTAGTAATGAATCGGGAAGAATGTAAAAAAACCCGGCACTATCCCGGAATTTGCCTTTAGGGACTGAGAGTAATCACGAAATACCTCAGTTACAGGAGTCTCCCTCCGAGCTGAGATTTGAATAAATAAAAATAAATAAAACGATAAGTGGTGGGGAGATAAAATCATTATAAATATGGTACTAGTTGTTAAGTTTCGTATTATAGCCGCTTTAGTCTCACAGAAAAGGCCACTGATGTTAACTTGATGTCTGGTTGGATGGCTCCCACAGCCGTTACGGGCGTAATAATGCACAGCAAAATATCTCTCCCTACTGGGAATCGAAAATTCAACCGTCACGAAGCAATAAACGTAGCCTAAACAGCGGCAATCTGCTGTATTTGTATGCGTTTTGTAAATAATTATCATAATCTCGATACAGATGACATAAACAAACAAACAGAGAAAAACCGAACGACCGATTTATTGAAATTAATCATAATACCATAGTCCTGTGCTATCCCAGAAGTGCCGAAGTTCACCGACAGATGGCTCTGCAATATTTACAATCACTCGGGGCTCTCGCGCTACAATTACTATGGAGAAGCACCATAAGATGGCAGCAGTTTTCGGTAGTGAATACATGAAAAGGCTAGAACAGTGAAATAATTGGAAAAAATTAACATTATCCGCTCCTTGCTAAACTGTAGTGGCGTCATGATATAATACACGTACAAATGACTAAAGATTGTCTCAAATTTTCATCTCACTTCTAACAACCATCATCATATGGAATAGCCGCTTCAAGGCATCTGCAGTTTATACAGCGCCATAACTAACGGGCGAAAAAGTGACCTGAACGTCACGCCTCACGCTTTCTGCTCGGGAGCCTACTGGTTTAAACATCAGCCTGGTGGCCGAATGTTCTGACAGGAATTTATTGTTTCTCCTTGCACATCCAGGCCCCGATCACCTTCTTCCCATTGCATGTTTTTTTTAATTCTTCGGAAAGCCGTATTCTATGGGTCAGTTATTTAGTTATATAAGCCTCACAAAAAAAATACGATTTGAAAAAAAAACATGACGCAACAGCATTACGTTTGAGACTGCACGAAATTTATTACAACAGATACAGAATAACAATCTTACCTGTGATCTGAATGAATCTCCGTTATCAGTAAGCTATGTCTGAGCACCACTCACATTACAAACTTGAGCGGGCGTTGCTGCTAAAGGTCAGGGTCAAACAATCGAGAGATTTAATCTCGCGTTTTTAAATGATGGAGATGGAACTTGCTCTCAAAGACAGCTGATTGACAATGAGAAGCATGGATGCCAACGTTATAACTTTTCATATCCGAAATGACTACAAAAATATGCTGCAGGGCGACTGAAATGTGTTAATCATGCTAGGCAGCATTAAAAGCAGCTGCATGGAGCAAAGTCCTTCTTGAGAAGCTGATAGTAGCTTGGCTGGTACCAGAAATGGTACCCACAGGTTTATTAGCATACAAAATGAACCTTACATCTTACTTGTTACATTTCAACTTCTGCTACTGATACAATGCTGGTGGGGTGAAACAAAGAATTGTTTTATTTATAATAACATATTTCCATACAGATTAACATAACAGTACCACTGCAAGTGACATTCTTTAACTTAATCATCAAAACTTCATTCAATTGGTTATAGATATTACAGCAGAAACATGACACAAAAACAAAACTTTGAATTTAAGTTATATACAGTAAAAGGTAAAGTGTTTAATTAACGTCTGTTAGCTGTGCATCATCACAGCCTAATCACAGTGCTAAAGCATTAAACCAATCCTGTAGTTAAAGTATGGCTGGCATCCACATATTACGGAGATCTGAATCCCCCAATTTCATATAAGCACCAGGGAGTGGAGGTATAGCTCCATGCACTCTTAACCTCAGCACTAGATGGAAGTGAGTACTAAACCTCATACCCTGAGCACTTTTCTTTCCCCACCCCCATTAGGGTAGAGCAAGTCCCCTGGTGCCCACTTAATGGATGGATTGGCATCTGAGCCAGTCTGAGGGCAACGGTGAAGAAATGTCTGTGCTCCTACCGGTAATCTAACCCCAGCTATCAAGCTCACAGCCCACACTAAGCTATCTCAGCACTTTAGTCATCCTATTGGTCATACACATTTCAAATAAAAATTTATGATCTTTAATGTGTGTATGCCTCACTTAATGGTACCTGCATCTTGTCATGGTGGTAGGGCTTGAGTACCTCAGTGATCCCAAGAGCTATGCTGGCAGTAGCATAGCTACTGGTAGGGCCTCCCTAGCCAGATTGGTCGAGGGGGAGAGGTCAGACTAAGACAGGTACCCTGGTCCTCCAGGTTGGGGGTTGGTCGTAAGGCTAACAACCTTGCACTGTAAAAAGGAAGATATTTTGAAACCTCAATTGAGGAGGCCATGGACCGAATATGGACCGGAGAGCCATAGAAGAAGAAGAAGAAGAATGTGTGTATGTCTGCTGCCATTACATTAATCTGAATATCCCCAATTTCTATTTTTATTTAAACCAAACCAAATGAATCATTCTTATATACATTTTTCCACATATTCCCTTATTTTTTTAAAATAATGCAATGTAATGTAAAGTAGGGCTGAACAAGAACTATGCATTCTACTGGTGTCAAAATTTAAGATACCCTACTGAAAAATAACATTTGGCACATTCACAATAACCACACTTCAAAGTTCATGAAATTCTTTTAATAACATTATTAACTCTGTACTCAAGTCAAATGAAATCACCTACGTCTCCATTGTAAAAATCACACACAACAGTGATGATAACACCAGAATGCTACATCACATTAAAGCAAACTGTCAGTTCCATAACAAAATAAACACTGCACACCACATTCCAGTACAAGGGAGAAATTTTCTATATGGTTAGTCTAAAAGGATTTTAGCATTCATGGAAACTCAGACTTTGAAAGCTACATCTGTTCAAAGTTGTCAATGAAGGCATCTGTAGATCTCATATTTGTATATATCTACATAGGCAGCAATACAGAACATTCCTGAGTGATCATTTATCTGTAAATACAAAACAGGAAATTACAATTAGAAATTTTGAAAACAAGGACATTTATTGTAAGAATTGGAATCTATGAAGTGCTGAGCAAAATATATGCACCTATGAGAAATAAATTATTAGTGGTATTTTAAGGTGAAGAAATAAAAGAAGACTGGGCTGAAAGCTATGGAACGCACTTGCAGACAACAAATACATGCACATTCTGTTTAGGAAGGGTCATTGCAAGAGAATGCCCAGGAGACCAGAAAATTATATTACAATGGTTCTTTACACCAGAATGCAGAACAAAATCATATTCTAATGATAGCTAATAAATCTCTGAAAATATGACAAAGATCAAATATTTGGGGGGAAAAGTGATAAGAAAACAACCCAGTATTCATGATGAATTTTAACAGCACATTAAATATGAATAATGCTTGCTACCAGTCAGTTCAGCAACTTTTACCTTCTCAACCTCATCAATTTGTTTATTTATTCAACACTATAAACACCTCAGATTATACAGCATCAAATTATAGAATGAATAATGAACTGAAAAGGATGTGGAAGGAAGCAGTCTTAGCCTAATTTTAGTTACTATCCTGACATCCTGCAGGGACTGAGAAAAAACAGGAAAAAGTCAGGTTACAAGCCCTCCAGGC